ACTCGGGCCAGCACCTAGGCCTCAGAGCTTAAAATCACTCAAACTAACTCATTTTCAAATTGTTCGGTTCACCTTGTCTCTTTCCACAATTACTACAAGAAAGCGCTGCTCCCCCCCACCCCCGCCCCAGCCTCCTGATCCCCCTGTTGCTCCCCCATGGGATCATGCTTGGTTGGCCACAGCTTCTCTATAGTGAAAATACTTCTCATGGCAGTTATCTCCTTACTTGTTGGCCTCACCAGACCCGAATCATAACAAAAGCAGAATTGAAATGTCGTCTCTGGGGGCCAGCCAAAAACAAGAGTGAATGAATATTTGCCCCAAAGAATCCCACACTCTAGGGGAGGACAGTGGTGGGACAATGACAAGGTAGGAGGCCGCGTGGAGGTGGAATCCACACGCTGACATGCAAGATGAGCACGTGTCAGTTGGGGGAGGGGTGGCCAAGTCACCATCCGGGCCACAGCACTCTGCACCCTAGCTCCCAAGTTATCCAGCAAACCCCATGAGGGGAAGCATCACGGGCAAGGGGAGAAGAACTTTCTGTAGTAGAACGTCACAACCCCAACTGCATTTGCTCACCAGGTCCAATGTGGGGCAGCTGCATCTGATGTGGATTTGAGGTTGTGCAGTCACAATCAACAAGCAGCCCATGGACCACTTAGCGAGTCCTTGGTGAGCGATTTTAAGGGATTTGAGGACCATGGCACTTCTGGCTGGGTTACTGGTCTGTCCCTTGTGGGCGAACACTAATTCTCCTGGTCGGCTGGGAAGAGTAGGTGCAGATGGGTAGACAAGACCTCCTTGCTCATTAGTGCTCGAAGCAGCTGTCACTTTACCACAGGTAACCGTGGCATGTGGTGCCCTCGCATGCTGGGGTAGTTGAGGTAGCTGAGGTGCAGGGGCCCCTCCCAGGTGCTGAACCTCCCTCTGGGCTTGACCCAGGAACTTGGGGGATGGGATATGTCTGAATTTGGGGATAACGCGTGATGTCCCTGGACACCCACACATATATTGGTCACTAGCCACAGGGGCTGGATGCCTCGCTCCTTGACCAGTCAGTGTTCACACGTGTGAACATCCCCCTCGCCCCCAATGCACACTTATCCCAGTAAGAGACTTAAAATAATGGTCACTCTGCCCAAAGATGTTCATGTCCTAATCCTCAGGACTTAGGACTATGTCACTTTATTCGGCAAGAGACTGTGCAGATGTCATGAAGTTAAGGATTTTGAGATGGGAGATTATCATGGACGATCCAGGCGGCCCAATCTATCATAGGAGTTCCTGAGGATCTTTCTGGACTGTCGTCTGAGGAGACGCGCTGTGGACAAAGGAGCCAAGGCATGCTGGCCGCTTCCAGCTGCAAAGGCGGGGAGTCGCTCTTCAGAAGGAACAAGTCCCGCCGTCAGAGGGGCGGCACTACTGACACAGCCGGGAAGGACTGAGCAGGGAGCCAGCCATGTCCTCACCCTGGCTCACCACTCTGTAGCGGTGTGGAGGTGGGCATGGTGAAGGAGAGCTGCCAGCTCGGGAGGGCTCAGTGGACACTCCAGGACCCAACTGGCAATTCAATTAGAAGGCAACGAACCCCCAACTGACAACTCTATGGTTGGATTCCGAGAGGAAAAAAAAAAAAAATCAAAAGACCTTTCAATAACTGCATTTGGAATTATTTGACTGGGAGTAAATTGTGCAATTTAAAACTGGCAATCATTCTGCAGGTTTGGGAATTCCTGCAAAGTGAGCAAATTTAACCTAGGAGCTGTTTTGAAATGTAATGAAATCTTTATGAATACAAAATTTAGTAATTGATGAAGTTGACACATTTTTGTAGATGTGGAGACATTTGATAAGTTATTAATTCTGACTTTGAGTTTGCTTTTTGTATTTTTGGAACCAATAATTTCTTCCTACCTCCTCTCCAAGTCTTGAAATGTATTACAGATCCCCTGCAAAAAACAAGCACAGTCTGACAGGGTCCCAAGTGCTGTTACACTTATTAAGCACCTACTGTAAGCCAGAACAAGTCTGAGCTGTTCAGGTGCATTAGCTGATTTAATCTCTGCAAAGACCTCAATGGCAAGTGCTACTGTTATTTCCTTCTTCTGGTTAAGGAATACGGGACTCCCTGTGAGCACACAGGATGGATTCCCAAGTCAGCTCTCAAACCTTCTATACCACAGGCCCTCACTTCTATAACCAACATCTCCTCTTTAAAAATGCTTTAAAACTGGTAAAATACACATAATTTGAAATTCGTCATTTTAACCATTTAAAGTGGAATTAATTCACATTGTTGTGCAACCACAACCCTGACACCTAACTTCAAACCTTCTTCTCACCTTCCCAAACGAAAACTGTCCTCATTTAAATGCTAGCTCCTCTCCCTCTACCAACCCCTTTGCTGTCTGTAGGATGTGACTCCTTTAGGGACACTGTGAGTCCATCACACAGGATCTGTCCTGCGTTTGGCTTATTTCACCGGGTACCTTGTCCTCAAGGCTGTCGCCCGTGTCAGAATGGCCTCCCTTCTAAAGCCTGAGTAATATTCCATTTTCTGCCTGGATGGACACTGGGTTTTGCCATACACTACACATTCGTTAGAATGGTCATTTAAAAAATTTAACCCCACCCCCACCCCGGTAACATACATCAATAAGGATGAGGAGAAATTGGAGCCTTACACATACATTCCTGGTGGAAATGTGTAACATGCTCTGGAAGTCTGGTGTGTCCTCTAAAGTTAAACATAAAATTACCACGCAACTCAGCAATTCCAGGTTCAGACCCAGGAGACTGAGAACAGGTGGACAAGCAAATACAGTACACCTATCTGCACAGCATTATTCACAGTACCAAAATGTGGGGGCAATGCTAGGGTCCCTCAAATATTTTCTTTTCTTTGCCCAGAAATAAAAGTTGGATTTTTACAAGTTAATACAACCATATCCATACACAACATCCTAACCAACATGATGGCTCATCAGCTACACAGAATCAAGGAAAACAGTGCCCGATGAGAGTAATTAATTCAGTCCGTAAATGCTCAGCAAAGGCCCAGGTGAAACTGGACGCAGGGCTCGGACCAGACTTGTGCAGATACAACATGCAGTGAACCCCTGGCCAAGTGCTGGACAACACGATGAAACAATTTTCCCGGAAACTACACTCTGAAAAAACCTACCTGAAAACTGTTAAGGGCACTGTCAACTGTGTTCACCCACACACACAAATTCCTATGAAGTCCTGGTCCCAGGACCTCAGAAGGTGACACTATTTGGAAACAAGGCCTTTGCAAAGCTAATGAGAAATGAGGGCACTGAGGTGAGCCTAGCCCAGGGCTGGTGGCCCTACACACAGGGGCATCTGGACACAGGCACGCACAGGGCCAAGGCCATGTGGAGGAGACACATCATAGGTACTGGGGGGGTGTGGGGTGTGGGTGTAACAAGTCAAGAGACACAAAGATGGCCAGCGACCCCCAGAAATTGGGAGATGAACAGATTCTCCTTCACAGCCAAGGAGGAAGCAGTCTGACACGCTGACCTTGAACTCTCAGCCTCCAGAACTGTGAGATAATTCTACTGTCCTAAGGCACGCATTGGCAGTACTGTATGGCAGTCCTAGCAAGCCAGGATGAGTGTCTTTGTTATCTATGGGAGCGCTGGGGTGCAGGCCCTGCATATTAGGAGAAGCTGGGTACACCCCATGGGCTGTCCTGTGGGACTGGCCAGCATGCTCAATGCTTCCCCTGGCAACAACGGGGCAGCTTGGCAGCAGCACCCCAGTTGAACCCTGGCACTGGGCTCCATGATGCCTTGCTCATCTCCCAGAGTGACTTTATGAGAGTTACATGACAAGATGTGCAAAGAGATCTCACCTGCCACCCCAGGCTGCCTCCTCTCAATGCCGCCGTCTGGCTTTTACCGCACAGCATGAAAAGCCTAGACCCCATTATACTCTCTGGGTTGTGGAGAGGGTAGGAGGCAACATGCCACATTGGCCCCAGGGTGCAACATGGAGACAGCATCTTCTGGACCTGTCACTGGAAAATGACCAAAAGCCACTACTGCGGGGCGCACACAGGTATTTATTCCTGGCAATTCAGACAGGACACTGAGGGCTCGAGCTGACCTGCCTTTAATGCTGTGGCTTCCAAAGCAAGCTGGACAGGATTTTCAGATTGCTCTTTTAAAACTAAACAGCCCAGCAGGAACACAGGGTACTCCAGAAGAATCGGCAATTGGCAATTGTTTGTTCCAGGCCTGCGGGTGGCTGTCCTAGTTACCGAGGGGAGGGAATGAGGGGAGGGAATGGAGGTTCCGGGCGGGTGGTGATGTGGATTAACTCTCACCATGCCAGCCTGGGCCGGGAAATACAGAAAGTCAGCCCTCCCTTTGCCCCCAAATCGCAGTACAGGCCCCACCACTAGGTCTAACCTACTTATGACAGGCATCTAGTTCTCCCTGCTCCACTGTGCTTCCAAGAGGAAGAACATCACCTTGCTGTGGGAACACACCAGAGCCCCAGGAGGATGGGCTTGGAAAGTGGCACCCTGTGGCTGATTTTAATGAAGAAAATCTGAATCTTCGATGGTGACACCCAAGACTTCACATGCATCTCCAGGAAAATGGGGGACCTGGCACCACTGGGCGTCCCCATGCCTGCTCTTAGTGCCAGATGCCAAGCTCGGCCAGTTTTCCGGGAACCACAGGGCACGCTGCTCCCCACTTCCGCTCCCACACACACAAGGGGTAGAGGCACTAAACAGAGTGGGGGGAGCCCCATATATTCACTAAATCCCACTACATTCCTACTTCCCACAGAAACTATGACCTCGGGCCAATGGTCTGATCCCTGCACCTGTTTTCTCCGCTGCAGAGATGGGGAGACAGAGACCCTACTTCTTCAGGTAGCTGTGACGATTCAGTGACAGACGCGGTGCTGCTGAAGGTCGGGACTTCCCTAACGCTGCGATCACAATACACACGCACACATGCGAACCATGAACTTTTATTAATGGAAAATGGAATGCTCGTTAACAGAAACCTTGGTCTTAAAAATGGCAGAACAAGAACACATTTATTTAAAAAAAGAAAAAGAAAAAAAAAGTGAATTCACATTGTATTGAACTATAACATGATGGCAGAATTTTTGTTTCTTAGCAGATTCCACAAATGCAAGGTAACTCTGGCTAAGAGATTCAACAGTGCATTTGCCTACCTGAATTGCAGAGTGAGTGGGGTTTAGTAGCGGCGGGTGAAGTGGGGGTATGGATGGGGGTGTGGGTGTGGGTGTGGGACTCGGCTGCCCCGGTCCTGGCTGGCCAGGCCTCCACCTTCCAGTCCGCCACCGGGCACCACGTGACCTTGGGAATGCCCACTTTGTGCAAAGCCGCCGCGCCTAGGAGCAAAAGCACACACATTTGTCCCTTTTAAGTTTCCATCCCACTGTGACAGAGTGAGGTTCTGCAGCCACTAGAGCCGACTTGTTTTTTCCCAGGTGAGAAAAATCATCATCACAGATTGCATCCAGTTTACTTGGTTAAGTTGCCAAGAGTTATTTTTATTTTTTTTGTCTAAAACATTTCACCCAGCAAGTTGGTCAAATGTGAAGAAAAGGGAAAAAGTAAAAAGCTGGAACAAATCAATCTTGTCAACAAAACTTACCCTGACAATCCGCCCCGGTTTGCCATGTGGCCTGGTCCTGAGGGCCCAGACAGGCCTCTCTCACCACCTGAAAGAGAAGCAGCAGTGGGCAGACAGCCCGTCTTGGGGAAGCCGTCAGAAGTGCTGGTGGGGCTGTGGCCTTCCTGGTCATGAGGTGCCCCGCTCCCGCGGGCGAGTCGGCCCTCACCTTGCCATCGCGAGTGCTCCCGGCCTGTAGCGCCTGTGTCCACCGTGCCGGGCCAGCTGCGCTCCGGGTGCTCTTCTAGTCTCTGGCTGTGCTCTGTCCAGTCACGGCTACCTCTGGGCCGAAACAAAAGTAGATGCGCCACCGTCCCAGTGTTAAAGTCTTTAGGGTCAGGGGTTGGCCAACGCACATTAAAGGGACCAGGTGCTTCCCCAGAATTCACAGGGCCATAAGGACACCACGTTCAGCGTTGGTAACACAACCAGGTCATGAGTGTGAGACCCTCACCCACCCTCTCCACCATGATGCTATTTCAGAAAGACCAGTAACAGGTACTGACAAGGACGCCGAGAAGCAGGCACCCTCACACATGGCTGGTGGGTAGGAGGAGGCGTAGCCATGTGGAATGCAGCATGGTGCTTTCCCAGGGAACACTCAGAGTGACCACATGCCCCAATGGGTCCACTGCTAGCTGTTTACCTGACAGAACGGAAATCATCTATTCACACAAAGACACGTACACAAGTGTTCAGAGCAGCACAATTTATAAAAGCCAGGAAGTTTAAACAACCCAAGTGTTCACTGAGAGTCGAACAGATATACACCGTCTACCCACACGCGGGACATCACTTGGCCATGAGGAGGAGGAAGCCCTCACACACACTACCACGGGGAGGTACCCTGACCACAAGATGCTCAGGGAGAGAAGCCACACATACAAGGCCACACAGTGTGACGCCACTGAAATGAAATGTCTATCACAGAGACAATGGGTTTGTTATGCCAAGGCTGGGGGCAAGGGGTGATGAAAATGTTGACTGCAGTGACTGCAGTATGACTGAATAAACTAAAAGCTGTCAACGTGTGCACTTTAAATAGTTAAGTTGTATGGCATGCGAATTATAGTACGAAGTAAAAATAAGTAAGTAAGTAAAAAACGTTTTGACTTGAAACACTGGGAGACTAAAATCCAAACATGTCTCCACTGTGTAGGCACCAGTGGCTGGACATCCAGGAAAGTGTGCTAGGTCCAGGCCAAGTCTGGAGTGACAAAACAGGGCCAGGTCTAGGGTCTCACTGAAGTGTCTGACTGGGAGAGCAACTATCTCCCCGACTCCCCCAGAGTGGAAGCCAAGTACATGTAACATCTGCCTCATCACCGTGACACAGCTCGGTGCAGTCTTCTGTCTAAAGATGAGCTCCCCATTTTAAATTTCCCACAGGCATTTAAATGATAAAAGCTAAGTAGGTCGCTCAGAAAGAATACACTATGTTAATGTATCAACGTGGCGGCCCTTTGCTGAACACCTGAAAACCCACTTAGAGACGCAGCAGAAGCTTCCGGTCTCCGTGAGTCTGGTCTCATAAATGCCTAGATGACGTGGGGCGGGGGTGTGGGGTAAAGCGTCTGTACAGTTGATGGGGTCAGGGCTATCTCCTTCAGCTGCTAGGGGTGCTGGGATAAAGTCATCTGCAGCTAGGGATGACCACTGCTGTGTCAAGTGGGGAGGGCTGTTCCTGGTGACCATCAAGGTAGTTGGAGAGGTCTCGAAAGAGGCGAGGACAGAGATGTCCAGCCCCTGCTGTGACTCACCCACTCACCTGGGTGGAGGTGGCGGCCCTCGGCCCTCACTCATCCGCTTATCAGAGCCATAGCCTCCCCAGCCATCTCGGGAGTCCCGGCTATGGCGCTCCAGGGGTCCCCCGTGGCCATGGCGGTCATCTGAGTAATGCTGAAAGGCACAAGCGTGATAGGGGGACACTAAGCAGGATGCTCCTGGATGACATGAATGTGGTTCAGTAGCCCCAACCGCTCTGAGAGGATCCACCTGGGCTCCCCCAGAATGTCATGGCCTTTTGCTCTGCTCCTGACCCTGGGCATCCTGACATCATCTCCCCACCCCACCTTGAGAACTCTGAGCACCCCTACACTGTCTGTTCCGAGCACCTAGGCTGCTGCCAAACAAAATGTCAATGAAGGCTGTGAACGAGGAGAACCCTGAGTGCAGTGGAATGTGCTGGTGCCGCCCAAGGGTCCACTGGGAAGAGTGAGCTTCAGGCATCTCCGAAGAATCAGGAGGCCCCGCCCATATGCCAGGGTGAGGGCAGGACCCTCAGACAATCTGTACACCACCCTAGGGTGACAGAACCCTCTCTCGCTCCCTGACGCCCAGGGTGAGTGCCATTGGCACCGCTAGTCCACTAGTCACTGTGCGCAGGACCCAGCACATCTGCATACCAGAGCGGATGCTGAATGCTCTCTGAGACCACACCCCTAATTTAAAGAGCCATGACTCGAACGCCTGCCCCCCCACCTTTCTCTGAGCTGACACCCTATGCACCCCTCACAGGGCACCTACAGATTACCACCGAGACACTGGGCCCCACACCCCAAAGTGCGGGCTGGCCTACCTCCTAACAAGCTGCAAAGCCCCATGTAGGGTGCTGTGGGTAACCCCAAGGTATGGCGACTCAAAGCACTCTAAGCAAATATGCAATCAAGAGCTATTTGCAGGTTCTACTGGATAAAATTAAGCAAAAACAAGCCCTAAGCATTTAAAGAACACACGGACTCCCTAAGCAGAAAAAGACCAATTACGTGTACACCTACTCGGTGGCCAGAACGGACATTTCCACATAAGCCTGCTGCCCCAGTTCGGTCGCCACCTCTCTGGTACAAAGAGTCAGCAAGAAGCAGGCGTGCTCAGGTTTGGTCTGAGCTGTACTCACCTGCCCATCTCGCTCTCCCATCACTGACCTGGAACCTTCCCTCCTGCAAAAGGGAAATATCTCATTCCAATGGCAGCTGATGATACTTATGCAACATTTCTGTAGGCCACACTAGAGTTCCACAATTAGGAAACTTAGCTCTGTTTCACCACAAAAAGCATAATTTACTGGCCTGAAAAAGAACACTGGTTGGAATTTAAAGGCTTTTCCCTGGGAGGAGTGAAGTCAATCTAAGAAGGTGGAAATATAGATTTTACTTAACTAAAATCCTTCAGAGGGGCCCCAGAGGTAGAGTCCAACACCCTGAAGTCAATACCTACTTTATCAATACCTACTTGATCCTGACAGTCAGGACAACAAGAAGCCCCACAGGGTCCCTCACCTCAGCTCAACCCTACACACATCACTCACACCAAGCCTTACACCGATCCCAGCTTTCCTGGGCTCCTCATCCCATTCTGCCTGGCACTCCTTTCCCTATGGCAGAACTAATGAACAGTGAAATGGCTCAATGTGCAGCCCAGGGGAGCTCAATGGAAACTTTAAGAGTAATACCTTAAACTGGAAAATCAAGGATTGCCTTCTTAATAAGCTAGGTATATTCCTCATTAGAAGAGGCACCAGAGGAAAAAAAAAACAAAAAAAAAAAAACAGGCAGACACTTGCTAAAAAGCCCCAAATAGGTCCTCAAAACACAAAGTAGGCCTAACGAGAACTTTCCGTGGAGTGATCTGCTAGCTTAGGAATCTGTGCCACTCAGCGAAGCGCGGGGGCAGAGCTGAAGCCCTGGTACCAACCTGGTGACGGACAGCTCAGGCAGGCACACCCTCAATCCGCTTCCTCCGGTTAACAGGAAGTCGAGGGTCATGCCCTCCTCAAAGCCCTATAATCCCAGAGAGGTTCAGGGAAGAGTGACTGTAGTAGATCCCCCAGAAACTGTGAAGCCCAGAACCTGGGCCACCCCAAGAGAACTCCACACGGGGGACAGCAAGGCTCACATTTCTGCCCAGGCCCTCTCAGTCCTATCTATTACAAAGACAGAGGAAGAAATGAGTTCCACGGCCCTTCCTGCTAGACAAGCTCAGGATGCCCTACGTGACCACTGACTCCCACATCTCACTCAAGGTCCCTCATGCAGCCAGTCAGGAATCTACAAGTAAATCAGACATAAAGAAAACAGACTAAGACCTCTCCCTGCATCAGGCCAACTAGGCCCCCTCGGTCCTCACTGCAAAAAGGATGGGGTGCTGACCTGTCGGGTACATGGTCCTGGTACTGGCTCCGGTCTCGATGGTCAAAGTCATGGAACCGGTGATCGGGTCGAGGGAAGTCAGGGCGGTATCTGTCCTCCATGGCCACACGCTTTCCTTCCAGCCAATAGGCCTCATCCCGTCTGTTTATTTTTAAAAGGATGCAAATTTCATTCGTGGAAGAGAATGAGAGAAAAACAGAAGGAGACAGAGGTGGGGAGGTAAGCTCTCACTCCAGACCGAGATCATTTAAAATGTCCCGCAGGGCTAATCGCTAAACATTCAATCATTATCACTTTGATTTGATAAATTAAAATCCCCCACACTGCCAAGAGGCACACTGGAATTCTCATCTGACAATGCTTAAAAAAGGACTGCTGTGAGCTAATTGTATCACAAGGCTGTTAATACCTTGATCCCCACACGAGCTGGAATGGAAGTGAAATGAATTATCTGATTCTTTAGCACCGGCATTCCTAGGCTCCACATTTTTACCTTCCTCATCTTCTGGAAGCCAAGTCTCCTCTGCGGTCTCCCCCCCCACCCCAAAGCAAAGGGGATTTAGATTGGGTGGTCTGCAAGCTACATATAGCTCAGGATGGCATCCAGTACTCACTGATGCCTGCCAGAAAACTAGGCTCATGGGTGAGGGGGTGATGGCTGACCGTCAATTAGACAGCTCACAGAGGCTGGAGACCAATAAACCTACTTTCTAAAGGGAAGGTAATTTCCTTTTCTACAGTGCAGACTCTGCAAGGGCACCGGAGACCCAAAAGCGGAAGCAGGCCTAGCGCACACTGGCCGTCTCCCCGCCACTCCAGAAGGTGGGCCCTGCGCGGCAGGAGCCTCAGTGCAAGCCGCAGGCCGGCCTCTGATGACACGCATCACAAACGCCCCCCAAGGTTATCTTAAGGGTGACAGGGACGACGTCACCTAGCTAGGGGGGCGACATAGCCTACACGGGCCTGAGGCGCTGGCGGGCCGTGGCTCGCTCCTCACCGGCCGTCGTCGTAGGGCCGCCGCAGCGCCGGCCGCCGCTCCTGCTCGTAGCGCAGCTGCTCCTGCTGGCGCCGCAGTTCCTCCCGCTCGCGGTGGATGCGCTCCTGCTCCTTGCGGCGCTCGCGCTCCACACGCATGCGCTCGCGCTCCAGCCGCTCCCGCTCCATGCGCTCGCGCTCCAGCCGCTGCCGCTGGCACTCGAGCTGCAGGCGCTCCCGCTGCAACCGGGCCTTCTCCTTCCTTTCATGAAAGGCTTCCAGGCGCTGCTCGCGCTCGCGCTGCTCACGTTCTCTGGGGGGACACAGGAAGGTCACCTTGAACTGCTTGATGTGGTGGTGCCTGGCCACTGAGGCATAGGTTATTAAGGGGGAGAAAGGTAAGAAAGGTAAAGGGTAGTTACTCCCACAGAGCTGCTGTACACAGAGAACCCCAGACATGATTACAAACATTTTCCCAAAGTTTTATTCTCGTTAAGACTTTCCCCCTTTTCATTTATTAAGCAGGCGGGTAAAGTGTGAGGACAGAGCCTAGGCCTAGACCGCGACACGGCCGCCAGGGGGTAATGGGACCTTGCACACTGCAGCCTGAGCACTGTCCGCAGAGGCACTGCTGTCAATCAGCTAACATTCCCGGGCGCCTAGACAGGCTCCCGGGTGAGCTGGCAGGAAGCAAGAGAACTCTGAATGGATCCAAACGGTTCTCCTACTTTTACTTTCTAAAGCTACTTATGCAGAAAATCTGAAGTCACACCACTATAGGAAAAGCAAATGACCACACAACCGGGAAATTTCTACATGATCTACTTGGCTTAAGAAAGTCCCCCAATCTCCAAAAAACAGCTTTTGTTGGAACCAAGCCGTATTTAATGAAAAATGGCAAAATGGCAGAGTGTGCTCGTGTGAAATGGCAGAACACAGATGTGGGAAGGACAACCTTAGGTCTATAAACTAACTCCACCACAGAGGGCAGAATAGTGGCAGAGCGCCATGAGGCTGTCGCCACTGGGTCCACGAAAAATGCCTCTACCAAGTGGCCACACTTTCTGTCCACGGGAAAACTAGTGATGCTGGCTGCCATTTTTCTTTCTTTAAAATATTTATTTATTTATGCATACAAGAGCTGGGGTGTAGGCCATGGGTGCTGGGGGCAGGAGGTGAGAGGGTTCATCAGACAGAGTGGGGTAGAACAGGCAGATCTACTGAAATCCACTGCTGAGGGGAGCAGAGGGCAGGTCAGGAAAGGCCTGCTGCACCCTGTAGGTCAGTCTCCTACAAACTCGTGGCTGCTGGTAGCTTCAGAGAGCTGTGACTTAACTCCTTGAGCCACCAGGGAGGCCCGTGGCTGTCATTTTTCGTGGAAACCTGTGACTTCCACAATGTCACATGTTGGTGAAACTGGTACATGAGACAGGCTCCAACTTCAGCCAGGGGAAATTCTGCTGCACAGTGACACATGAAGCAGCCAGCCGGCCTGGGCACACAAAGACACTCAAGGGGGAGAAAGGATGGCCATACTTACCGCCTCCTCTCCGTCTCTCGAATCTCCCGCTCCCGCTGCCTCTGGCGCTCTCGCTCCCTCTGTTCTTTGATTTTATCAAAGGACAAGATGTCTCTCTTCTCCTTACTTTCTGATTTGCGATCCTGACTCTGGGAGTTCTGTTTACCAAAATTGGTTTATTAAAATCAGAAAAATCATCACAAAAGAGGCACAATAAAAGTGAAATATGCACATCTAGATCAGATTCAGATTCTTTTGCCCACACGGTTTACATGGAGGCCTCATGTCATCTTCCGACCAGAGGCCCCGACACAGGCTGCCTCACCTGCATCCAGATTTGGTGGCTTAATCTACAGAGACTTGTATTTTTTTTATATTAATAAAGTTTATTTTTCAAAGTGTACAGTTGACAGGATCTGTTTTTACATCTGCGAGCAATTGGACTATCTCCACCCTCAGTATTTCTGGTGTAAATTACTAGTGCTACACAGTCCTGCTTTTGCAGAAAGCAAACAAAAGGTTAGTAATGAAGAAGGAAAAGTGGGACAAAACCTCAGAAACCTACAGTCTGTCTGTCTAATGTAGCTGAGCCAGGCGCTCCTCACAGTCTAAAGCAAAGCAAGGCAGCCCAAGGTGCGTGAACAGTGTGATGGTGACGCATGCACTGAGCAGGGACAGTCACCAAAGCAGCTGTTGGGACAGCCGGGTGATGGACTCCATTTCCACTTCTCCCTCAGGCAGGTGGTCTTCAAGCTGAACAAGGCAAAGATGCCTGAATGTGAAACAGCACTTCTGGTAAGATACAACACAATCGTGGGCAACTTCTCTGACATCCACTTCTGGGGTGAGGCACACACACAGGGCCAACTCCAACTTGTAAAGCTCTCATGGCCCCGACACTAACCAGGAGTCACTTTCCCGAGATGCACTTAAGCAGCATGGAACCCGGCAGCCCCTACAGGCCCACAGCCTCAGAACCCTCAGGGAAGGGGCCTGGGAAACATTTGTTTTAAAACTCTTCCGTTAATTCTAAGTAGCTCATGCAGGGAAAAATATCAATCAAAGCAAAGCAATCAAACAAAATGAGTAAAGTTATAACAAGTTAACCAGGAAAAAAAAAAGTGAGTAAAGGGACAAATGCAGAGAAGACAACTCATTGTAGGTGCAACCACAAAGTATTACAGTGACACCCTTCACCCACAAAACAAGAGTTTCAAGCCTGATCACACACCGTGCAGCACAGAGTGGGAACAACGCCTGAGCTCCATGGAAGAGTGTGATCTGTGCACAGGCCAGGTCAGTCGTGGGCCCCACTGAGTTCCTGGGCTCAGGACTCGGGCTAGCCACTGACTAGCTGCTTGGCCCCCACCACGACCCAGGGAACCCAACTGCCCTTCCTGAAGGACACACTGCCAGCCTCTGCCACGGAGCAACTGCTCAAATCTGTGAGCCCAGCAACCCCACCAATGATAGGTGTTTACCAGATACAAAGAAGTCTGCCAAGAGGCAGGCACCACAACAGATTCTCTGTAGAAAATATGGAAAATAACTAGTGCCCATCGCCAGACTGGCTAACATGACCACAGGATAGCCACAAGTGGAGCAAAAGGCAGCTCTGAAAGGAAACCATCTGGAAGGAGTGCCAGGGCATTATATGCGGAGTGGGGTGGGGGGGACAATACCAAGAGGTCACACCCCCACGATTCCATTCACATGCACTCTCATGACAACATTCTAGATGGACAATGGGTTGGTTCCCAGGATGAGGGGCAGGCTGGAGTGAAGAGGAGTCTGCCATGACAGCGCTCTGGATGTACACTGTTAGCTTTGTGTTCACTAACGAGCACTGTTCTCATTAATGTTTTAGCTAGAATCTTCAGCTGTGAATTACTGTGAGTTTTGTATTCCAGTGGAAAACACTGAGAAGCCACTGGCTTGTCCAGTATGCACAAGACTTAGGCGTGTAGCCTGTTTTATGATTCTATGAAAAATAAGTCAGTTTTAGGGTGGACTCTTGTAGCAAATTTAATAAAAGGCTCGAAAATCAACTAAAGAAAACAAAAACAAAAACATCAAACAAAGAGCAAATCCTGACTTCCAAGTTGAGAAGCCCAGGCCACTCTCGCCCTGCCCAATGTGGGGACTGTGGTATGAAAATCAGTTCTTTCAGAAGGTGGCTAACCTGACAGTGAGATGGCAACACATTGCTGTGAAATTAGTTCTAGAAGCACATTTTGTGCCTGTATGCATAACCTGAACAGTTCATATGCCTTCTGAGAACTCGAAAGGTGAAAAGATGCTTCCATCTTGCAAACTAAAATGTGTATCAAAGCCACCAGCAAAACCAGCTGGATTTGAGGAAGAGGAAGTGATACTCACTCTCTCTTTTGATCTGCTCGTGGTTTTCACACTAATGACAGGCTCTCCTTTCGACTTATCCATTATGACCGTCCGTTCCATTCCTCTGCTTCCTTTAGGGAAGAAAGCACAGCAACCTATGAAAACGTTCGGATGCCCTAGCTTCCCAATACACAGCTGGCTGTGGGCCCTGGAAGGTGTCAAGACTAATGCTGACCCTGGGAGGCTCAGCGCTTTGCCACCACTCACCCAGACGGTAACTCTGGGTTTGAGATGGCTGTTGTTCCCAACAGGTCTCTGCTCACCTGGAATAAAGTGGTGTGATCTGTTCACACGTGGCAGCTAAAATCCAAGTCAGAGTGCGCCCTGCATTATGTTCACAACACACCCTACCTGCAGTAATCCTTCACCCTGAGACTGAAAATCCCAGGGCTAAGAGAACCAATTCCAATTTTTATTTTCCCCATACATTCTGGAAAGCGCTGCAAAATCCAGGCTTTTATGTTTTGAATCAGACCAGATTGGTGGCTTCCTCCTTCATTCATCTAGGGCAACAAAGACTTCCAAACCCATTCTTCCCCTCAACTATATGATAACCAGGCTCCAACCACTGGAATAATTACTGATTTAGGGAAATTTGCAATTCTTGAGAAACATTTTAAAAACACGTTCCTCATGAGACTGCTGGTAAATTACCCCAAATGCTTAAGATCTAACTGGCAATGTTCTGTACCTAATTCGAATGTGCCAGATGGTTGTATTTTGTTTCTGGGTTGTTGATTTTTATGTTTTTCTTTTTTGTGTGCGGGGGGGAGGGGTTTGTCCTATGGAGTCTTGTGCAAATTTGAAGGGGTAGCGCATGACATATTTTCTAAAATGACAATAAAGCATGTTCCAAATGCAACTACTTCAATTTTTACAGAGATTATGAGGTTTTCGTTTTCTCTACAATTTTTAATACATCTGGCTTCAAAATCTTAATCATCACACAGCCTGCAGAACAGAACCAAATTAGTCAAAAGAACTAGGACACCTTCCTACTGCAAAACCCGGATTTTTTTCTGTTAAAGACTCAGGAAAAGCCAGAACCCAGGTCACTGAACCAGCAATAGACATAAATACTCCAGATGTGCTGCACAGGAACCTGCTTTAAGCCATTTCACTACCTGAGACTCTTGTTGCTCTACTGCTTCCTGTAAGACAACAATTCCAGTCACCTGAGCACGATGGTACTCACTCTTTCAAACTACCCAATCACTGTCCTTAACACAGTTCTCTTTTGATGAACACTCATCACCTGATTTGGTGACTCTGGACCGATTTGTAGGAACTGGTTTCAGCTCATCTTCATCTTTTTCTTCCTTTTTAATGTCTTCGGGCTTTTTTTCCTCCTTTTTCTCCATTTTCTCTTCCTTCTTAATTACGGTTCTATTGGAAAAGCACAGTGATTAAACTTTAGCTGCTGAGACTAATGGGAGCAGTTGACACTACCTCAGGCTTCCACACATTAGAGACCAGCTCTGCTGCACGCAGTTGGGGATATGATTTTAAACCATAGGACCCCAGTACTGCTCTTCAGACTTCACCCATATTCCTGTAAGTTATCTGCTGTATCTAGAAGTTTGCAAGACAAAATTGCAGGTCCGAGGGGGCTGGCCCCCAATGCTTCATGCACTGGTGTTATCAGATAGGCAGTCACAATATCCATGAGAAACACTCCTATGCACAAATGCTTGTTAAACATTAGTTCTGTTTCATTTTGTATGTGTGGAATATTGTTTTATGAGGTAAAACTTTTCCCCTCCCCCAAATAAAAACAGTACAAAATAAAATGGCGGTATTGTAGCAGGATGGGTAGCTCCCTCTGCATTTGGCCCTAACACTAACATACCTGAGTGTCTGGTAACTTCTGCAGACTTCCAGAAGTACAAGGCTCCATGTGCCAGATATGAGCTCTGTTACTGACACCTCAGTCAAGAGCACTTTTATTCTAGTCACTGACACAAACCACTGCAATTCCAAGTTGCCTTCCACATTCCACAGTTACAGACAATTAACCCCACTTTTATTAGTGCCCACCATGTGCCAACATCTAGGACAGTAAAGCCAGGCTCCAAGGATGCTCCAACGAGTGTGCCCTGCCTATCTTCCCTACTGACCAGGCAGAGCTAAGGCAGAGGATACCTTTCCCAGCTGCTCCTTGGCTCTGGCCAGCAGCTACCCCTTCTCCCCACTATACTTGCCTGCATGAAGTGCTATCTTTAAAATAGTAATTCTGGGGCTTCCCTGGTGGCCCAGGGACTAAGTCTCAGTGCTACCGCCACAATGGCCGAGCAGACCTCTCCTGCCTTGCCCACTGCTCCCCTCAGCAGTGTATTTCAGTAGATCTGCCTGTTCTGCTCCCCACTGTATCTGGTGAATCCTCTCACCCCCTGGTTGTCACCCCTCAACCACTCTGGCCTACAACCCAGGTTCTGAGAAAAATATTAAGATTAATCAAAGAAGAAAAATTGCAAAGTATAGCAAAAGTTAACTCTTAGGCTCTGAAAATGGATCAGCTACAAGAGGGAACGGGAGGAGGGGGCGAGGGGAAGGAAGGAACAGGACAGCAGCACGCCAAGTTTTGGTGGCTAGTGAAGATAATGTGCATATGAAGGCATGCGGTTATACTGCTGCAATTACATGGTTACGCAAATGAGTGACGAACTAGTGTAATTTAAGGGGAGCTGAGATTAAATACACACCACAGTAATGGATGGTATGTATCAGCACCAATAACTGTAATACTGGTTTTCTTAAAAAAAGATAACACACCACAGGCACAGCCAATGTCAGATATACTTGTTTCCCTCAGCACAACCATCACTAGTGGAGCCTTTATTGACTCCACCTCCTGTGGTTACCCCGTGTTCACAGAGCCCTACTTTCTCTGCAAAGCTTCCAGTCCTTTCTCAAGACTGCCATCATGGGGCAGCACTTGTACTCTGCTCTACAGCTCTTACAATCTCGTGCTGTGAAGACCAGCCTTGAGGGCTACACGCAGACCTGCTTCCTCAGCTGCTGCACCAGGGTCCTGCCCCTTCAGACGGGTATGGGGGCGGCTTCCAGTGACCGTGGCAGCAAATCGAGCCACGGTGCGTCTCCAAGGACCTCTCCCACTGCTAGGGTCCTGTCTTCTCCCGCAAAACAGAAATAAAAAATGTCTCAACGGTATACTTCCTCTTTGTTTTGTGCTTACCACACCTCCCTGACACAAATGAACATGTTAATAGCAGAAATGAGGTTAAACAGTAGCTTCCAAACACACAGGCACACCTGAGTGATATTGAAAGTGTGGTTCCAGGCCTTTACAATAAAGAAATTTTTCAATAATGGCTGGGCCTTCAAGCTGTAACATTTTAATTGGTAGAGGGGCTTGTAAAAATGGCAATTATCTATGAAGCACAATAAAACAAGATATACTGCAATGTAGGAGTAAATCTGGAAAGAGACAACAGAATGTGCTGCCCTGAATAGTGAGACTGTGCCTGTCAGCTGTGTGCACTTTGCAAATGGCCCTTATAGAAAGCAGCACTCTGTGAAAACAAGCTACATCTTTGGAAAAGCTTTTTCCACCTCACTTAGGTGGAATACTAAACCTAGAAATTCTTAAAATGAAAGTAAGGTAAATACAGGCGGTGTTTGAAAAAACTACCTTTAGTAGTTTCCTCATATTCTGCCAATGCAGATTTTTTTAACAATGCTAATGTTACTGAGACATGTGTCTTTGAAGAAGTGGCTGATAAAAATTACAGTTCTCATACCAAGTACATAAAGTTAATTTGACTTCAGTGTTCACCGGTTTACAAATACAAACTTGGCCACGATGATGACGGGCAATTAACTACAGCTTTAAAAACAAAGTTCAACTTTTGAGCAGTGCTACTATGAATTTTCCTGTATTAAAAAAAAACAGCAGAGGGCCCTCCCTGGTGGCGCAGCGGGTTAAAGCACAGCACTGAGAATCTAAAGCCGCTTCCGCACAAGTTCGATCCCCACCTGCCC